CAGAAGAGTGTCCCACAAGAGTGTCCTACAAGAGTGTCATTTGGACACATGTAGCTTTTCGAACGTGCTTGCATTCGGGTTCGTGGGCTCCATCTTGTTTTTCTCACTGATAGCTTTGAAGTTCATGTGACACATGTAGGTCTTCGTGTAATTAGAGTGACGCTACTGGATGCAACAGTGGAACGGGGATCACTACCTGATCTCTCCCCAGCGGCACCAGCGGTCGGTCCTTCTCTCGTGTGCGGTGGCTGCTGTGCGAGGCCACGGTGAAGGACCTGCCGTCGGCCAACTTCAAGAAGCAACACCGGGCGGGGCGCCAGGTGGGAGAGATTTAAGGATTGGCCTGCCGCCGTTTCGAAGAAACCCCATTTCAAAAATAGTTTTGGTAGAAAAGAGGCTGGCTCTGATCTGAGATTATATAGAATGATAAATTATGATAAATTTAGGGGTCTGTGTGTTGCTGGGTTTTATGTTGGTGTTCAGCGTTTATTCCTTGGTGCTGATGTTTTGGAGCTTAGACTGTTTCATGATGATTCGCCTTACAGCGAGGTGGGGCAAGTCTGTCAGTAGTACCTAGAAAATTGAGTCCGAATCAAGATCCAGATTTGAGAGCGTTCGGGGGTGCCTTTTTGATGGAGCAGGGGTTGCCATCAAGTTCTGCGAGCGGACGTTTGTGTAAACTGGAAGTTTCCGGGTCGCACCTTAATGTGCACGGTTGCGTCGCAAGACTCCGAACAAAGCCAGGTTCGGGACTATCGCTTCTGGGAGGCTGCGAAGGACATGCAGACGTGGAAGCTTGAGCCAATGGGTCTGGTACAGAGGCAGCTGTATGTCAAATGGACGATTTTGCTGGTATGAATAGTGGCACGTGGGCTTTGTTCATCAATCGGGACAGTTAACTATTTTCTTCAATTTGTTGTTAGCAGCTGTTACCCCGTTGTGCTATTGAACCAGCTTCATGTCATTTGCCCTACCAAGTGTGAGGTTTGAGGCTGGGCCTCGGCTTCCCATGTGCGTGCAATTTTGTACTTTCCTTCCCCGTGTTCAAGTGCCCGTTTTGTGAGGACATTGACAAGAACATCATGGACAACTTGGAGCAGAAGGCTGGTCTGGCCTTGTATCCCACCCACTCGCATTGACCATGCGCTGATAATACTCAGCATCGTTCCGGAACTGATTTCCAGCTTATCTATATAATTGTTTTGTCTCCTCGAGTTGTACTTTTCTTAGTGACAATCGCTGGTTTGAAATGATTTCATCATCTCAAGGGCATAGTGGCTTTTGAAGTTTGGCTTTTTGTCCAAAACTCCTCTCATGTCAGCCAACCCTATCTCACCTCCCAAACTTCGCAAACGTAATAGTATTTGTTGATCCTCTGATTGTACAGACTATTGTTCACCCTCAAGGTACACCCCGCACTGTCCAGTCAGCTCGTTTTGCGGCGGAGCACTGGGAGATCACTATCTCTGATTCCTGACCCCAGCAAAGCAACCAAGGTCATCATTGTGGTTTGCTATCACGGCGCATTATGGCATCTCATCATCGCTTGTCAACAGCATTTCCCGTTTTTTGTTGGGTATTGTACCTGTCACCTTTTGGTATCCGACATGTAAGGCGTTGCCCCCTTCGTATCATGCTGTCAAGTCTGTTGCCGGTACTTTCCAAGTGGGTATCTATTTCTCAAATGTCTCAGTTGAGACCCTGGAAGATGGCACACCGCAACTCCGGTGAACACTTACTAGCATAATCACCACCAGCCCACGCATAGTTCCTTGGACGTTCTTGATGCTGTTCTTTTGTGCCTACTAGTCAAACATGGAGTTCAAGAAAGCACTCCTCTGTATGCGAAGCGAAATTACTTCAGACCTTCCCCCGGACCCTGGGAGTCCACGCAGGGCACCAAGCGCGACGCCCCCTCGGGCGAAGATGCCATTGCGGCCGCGGTGCGGGCGGATCAACTGGAGGCGATCGCTGTGCAGGGCAATTACGGATTAGTCACTTAAACAACCACTCGAGAGATCAACCTAAGAGCGATGGCCTCCAACCTACTAGGTTGGAATGGATATTTGGTGATGAGCACTGTGAGTTTCTGCATATGTATATATGTATAACTATATATATATATGTCCTGATCTCAGTCCACACCATGGCATTCAAAGCTGAGCACGAGCGCAGCTTTCTCCGACGGGTAGGATGCACCTCTAAGACAAGATTTTTTGCGGTGCCTGTTTAGTAGCGGTTTGTTCTTGTTGGTGAAGCTCCGTTCTTCATTGTGTAGCCGCATAGCCGGCCAAACCGTCATCCTCGTATGGAACTGACCTTTGTGCCCAGGGGCCGCGCAAGAAGCGCCGCACGATGCCAGGCGAACCGCTAGGACATCGGATTAGTCACTCAAACAACTACTCGACAGATCAACCTTAACAAAATAGAGATCCATTCATTTAAGATGTTATATATCATCGTGTCTGATTCAACTTGCTGGTCCATTACTTTGCATAAT